CTGACAACTAATACCACATAGACTGACACAGACCTCAGAATTCAGGAAAACTCTGGCAATTGAACGGAAACTTTTCAAAAATGTTTCCTTAAAAATGTGTTTTAACAGACTTCCTCTTCCCTCTCTTCAACTGGACTCCTGAAGCTTGGCCTAGTGGTGCTTGTCTGCATCTGCTTCCATCAGTTACCAGATGAAGGCTCTCTGATGACAGTTAAGGTATTCACCGATCTGATTACTGTGGTAAGACAGCTCAGATAGCCTCTCCACTACTGCTAGTAGTCTAAGCTGGGGTCATCCTTAGGGATTCCTGGGAACTTCCCAAGAAACCTACAGAGACAACCGAACTAAGCTAGTAGACTCTCATGAACTTTAGACCAACTGTGGAGCCTCCGTAGAACTGGACTAGGCCCTCTGCATAATTGAGACAGTTGTGTAGCTTGGTTTGGTCTGCTTAAAGGGCCCCCTGGTAGTAGGATCAGGATCTATCCCCGGTGCATGAGATGGCTTTTTGGGGCCCATTACCTAAGGTGAGACATCTTGCACAGCCTTGATGCAGAGGGAGGGACTTGAACCTGCCTCAACTGAATGTACCAGGCTTTGCTGACTTCCCATGGGAGGCCTTATCTTTTTGGAGGAGGAGAAAGGGAGGTGGATTGGAGGAAAAGCTGGGGGGGAGCAGGAGGAAGGAAAAGAGGGGGGTTTGTGGTTGGTATGTCAAATGAAAAATAAATTTCTAATAAAGAAAAATGAAAAAAGTGTTTTAATGATTGAAAAAAAAAAGAATTGGAGAAAATGTGCCTAGCATTCAATTTATCTTTAAAATACCTCACTGTCTATGGACAAAAATTTTGTCACAATAATATCTATATTGTGCTGCTATAGTTACAACAAGCATTATTGCTTTCTACATTCCAACAATAATAAGCACATGCATAAAGAATGGTATTTACCCAATATTTTCTAGGGTATGTACTTACTTTATAGCTTTGTTCATGCTCAAGCAAGCTACTTTCCAAGGCAGTACCACTGAATCCACAGGAACTGTCTCCTAGAGGTTCACTGATACTTGAATTCTAATAATGTGGGTAAAGACTGTGCCAAAAAGATAATATTAACAGAGAAAAATGCTCTGCAAATACACCCTCAGAAATTCTTTTAAGTAAAGACTTATTTACACTCGAAAATAATACAGGTCACATTAGAGAAATAGGTGCTAATTCAACATTGTATATACTAGTTATTTATTTGGAAGCTTTTAGAAAGGCAAGTGGTAGGCATTTCTGCCCTTCTTTAAAAAATTACAGACTAAATAAAAGATGAAAAATTGTTACCATGGCCTCATTACAGCTTCCTCTTAGTTCTGGGTCTCCATGAAAGGAATTCAGATGTCCCCCACAGAGCATAGTGTAGAAGACAGACACAATTCATTACTGAAGAGTGTGAGGCACTCCACACAGTGAGCATGTCCAAAGGCCAAAAGGCCACTGTAAAGGAAAGCTCTATCAGGGTTAGGGTGACAACAGCCAGAGAGACCACTGTGCTGACCTACATGTTCAGGAAGGCTTCCCGTGCTTAAACTTTCTGGAACACCTTCTGGACGGGTATTTCCATGTCTACTGATTGACAGGCTCGTTTGGTTAACTCTTAAGGGTGGTGGTGGCAATGTTATTGAGGTAATATATAGGAATAGTATACAAAGGCAGAGGAAACTATGGGGACATGGGAAGAAAAACAAAACAACTCCTACTCTGGAGTCTGGTTGAAGCCTCTCACCAGCTGACAATTAAGGATTCCAGTACAATTAACATTCACTGTGAAGGCTGCAGACACAGAAAAAAAATATTCTTTTTAAAACTGTAAAACATAAGGACAACAACAACAACAAAAATCCACTAGACTGAATGCATAAGGCCTCGTGTATGTCCTCACTTCTTGATATTTTATGGAGGTCTCACAAACAAGACTTTTGTTTGAGGTAGAGACATCCTAACTTGCTGCACCCTGCAGGTTGTTCTATATTATCAGTTGCAATCCCACCCAAGACTCCCCAGGAGCTACCCTGTATTCTCATTTAAATTCCTTAGTGAGCCTTTAAAGATAATTGAAAACCCAGCCCAAAATGTCCCTGGGGCCACTGTAAAGACAATGAAGTGTGACTCTCTCCTGAGAAGTGCACACCCATGTTTTCAGGAGATTCACCCTTTCCCTGAGTCCCTTCATTTTTATTAATCTCTGTGCTTAAAATACATGTTTTAAAAGCCCTTTGATACACTTCAAGAGGGTTTAATATTGGATCTTATTGAAACTCTCCCCTACAGCAAAGCTATACCTGAGTGGAGGTTTCTGTAAAGAACTCCCCAGGTGAGGCTCTCAGGAATCCACAAGGTTGTCCCCACCTTGGTCTGCTGGCAGTGGTCCAGAGGGTGCCTGGACTGGTCTATTCTGGTGACCAGCCTAGCAAATAACCTAGCTGTCATCATAGAGTCTTTGTCTAGTGACAGATGGAGGCAGATTCAGAGATCCACGGCCAGGCACTAGGCTGACCTCCGGGAATCCAACTGATGAGAGAGAGGAGAGATACTGCAGGTGAGGGACGTCAAGATCATGATGGGAGGATGTGCAGAGATGACCAGCCACACTAGTGGAAACCCATGAACTGTGGACTGGCGGCTGTGGAGCCTCCATGGGACTGGACTAGCCCCTCTGGACACGGAAGACGGTTGTTTGGCTCGAACTGTTGGGCGGGGCACCCAGGGAGGGGGATCGGGATCTGTCCCTGGTGCATGGGCAGGCTTCTGGGAATCCGGTGCCTGTGGTGAAGCCTTGCACAGCCTTGGTGCAGTGGGAAGGGGCTTGGACCTGCCTAGGCTCAGTGTGCTGGGCTCTGCTGACTCCCCATGGGAGACCTTGATTTGGGGGATGTAGGGATGCGGGGTGGCTTGGGAGAGAGTGCTGGGGGGTGGGAGGAGAAAGGAGGGTGGTATGTGGAGTGAGTAGAAAATTTCTTAATAAAGGAAAAAAAAGAACTCCTCAGGCTGCTAGTGGCAGTGACATGTTGCTGTGTTTCTTCCCCTCTACCACTGACAGTATTCCTTTATTCTTTATCTGAAAGCCCCCAGTAATTTTATGATCTTTTAGGCACAGAATGCTAGTTCTCCACACTGAGTCTAAAAAACAATCTTTGATTAATAATGAAAGTCTTTTAGTTTCAGTTTTGGCTTTACATGCCATGAACTGTAAGAGGAGAGTTTGTTCTCAGTGACCATCAAGCCTGCTAAGATATAACTAACTAATTGAATGCTGTCCTATGTTATCTAATACATTGGGCAGGTGTGGTGGTGCATACCTTTAACCTTAGCACTCTGGAAGCATCTGGAGTGAAGAAGACTGATCTTCAAGGCCAGCCTGGGTATAAAGCAAGTTTCAGGGTAGCCAGTGCAACACAATGAACCGTGTCTCAAAAGCAATCAGTGTTTACCATGTGCACCCCGCTGGTGTGATTTAATCACTGCTCCCATTGTAGGGAATTTAGTTTATGTGACTCGTCACACACTGAACACAAGTTTATTTTAGAATTCTCACTGAATTTTAGGATGAATTCCCAAGAGTGGAATGTCTAGACCTAACGAGGTGAACATTTTAAATAATCTTGAAACGTACTCCTTGTGTGGATGGAAAAAGCACAGTTCTCACCTCAAAAAGACTAAGAGTTTATTCTGGACCCAATTATGAATGACCATGGCCTGAAAACAAAGACTCAGGCTATCCCACATACCAAGTCCCAACGTGACAACTATTTCATGAAGTTTCTATAGTCACAGGAGAAGATGGTCATACATCAAGCTATTTTCTAAATACAAGTAAAGCAGTTTAAAAAGACGGGCAAATTTGGGGGCTCCTCACCCAGTCGGGTTGCTGACTTTTTCCAGGAGAAGCAAGAATTTTAGCACAGTTAGTGCATGCTTAAGGCCCTACCCCTTTCTAGCTATAAATCTGTTAATTTTTTTTTTTTTTTTTTAGGAATCTCACCAGAAACCCCACTTAGGAAAATTGCTAACCCCCTTGAGCAACCCAGCTAGCTGCTCTTGGTTTCAATTTATCAGATTATAATTCCATCCAGACATCTTTAAGCCACTTTGTATATCTCGATTATCAAAAGAAAAATTTAACAACCTTTGACAATAACTTTTTTTTTTTTGGTTTTTTGAGACAGGGTTTCTCTGTGTAGCTTTGTGCCTGTCCTGAAACTCACTCTGTAGCCCAGGCTGGCCTTGAACTCACAGAGATCCGTCTGGCTCTGGCTCCCGAGTGCTGGGATTAAAGACCTGCGCCACCACCGCCCGGCGACGATAACTTATGAGAGCCACTAAAATGGTACATATCCACAGTAGCCTCAACTCACTGTGAATTAAGGCTGGGCAGTGGGTAGGTGAGTAGGGGCCTAGGGTCCTCGGGACCCTCCTTTAACTACTCACCTGGTCGTGGGCATTGGGAGAGACCACCTATTGCATGCACAGAATAATAATAAGAATTTAAGTACAAAATCAAAACCAGATTAAACAAAAGCCAGGGGCGGGGGGAAGCGTTCTCCCATTGGCAGCAATTTCTAAATGAAAATGCAATAATACAAAGCGTGCAACTCTCTGCCAGAGATGTGCTCCAAGCAGCTCCTCCTAACCCCAGGGAGGACGTCTGGAGGCTGCCACTCCAGCACCGGCGACAAGGCCGCTGCACACTGCGACAGTGCACGTTTTCCCCCTTCACAAAAGGAATCAGCCTGATGGAGGAGAAAAGAAAACCGATTATTCGTCAGCCATGCGCAATCAGCACTGTTTCTAAACTTCGCAGTCTGGAGAACCGGCAGGTGACAAAACCAGGAGCACCCACAACCGCGACCGCGTCCCTTCGGGCCTGACGAAAGGGCGCATGCGTCGTGCCCGTTCCAGGGGCCCAACCCCGCCTTCCAGGGGCGAACTGCGCAGGCGCACGCGCAGGCGTCCGGGCCCCCGGCTCAGCTGCTGCGGTTGTGGTCCGGCCCCTCCCCCGCCCCGCTCGGCCGCTCTCAGGCCGGCGCTCCGCCCCGCACCGGGACCGGGGACGCCGTGACCCCGTCCTGCGGCCCGCCCGCGCCCGAGCATCCCGAGACGGCGCTGCGCTCCGCGTGCGGGTGAGCGACCCTGACCCTGGGGGCCCACGTCCCCTGCCCGAGCGGCGAGGGAGGCCGCGGCGCGCCGGGTGCGGGGCTGTCACCGCGGGCCCTGGCCTCCCGCCGGGCTCGGCTGGGGCGGCGCCGGGGCCCTTGATCTGGGCGGCCCAGTGGCTCTGGGGTTGTCCCGTTCTAGCTGCAAGGTACCTCGGAGGTGGATAATCTTCCAGGGGTTTTGCTTGTGTCGCCCTTTAAAAGGCGCTAGTTCCTTTCCCTCTCCAGCCCTTCGGAGCTGACCCCGCGTCTGGTGACACATCTCAGTTGGATGCATTGGCTGTATGTCTCTTTTTCCCCCTGTTTCCAGACCGTGTTGAGTTCACAAGACCGCGACATAAACATTGAGGCCAGGGAGGAGGCGAAGGGGATCTTGCACTCCTTTTAAAAACCTCAAGTAAGTCTCCAAAATAACACTGGTTACACTTGTCAGTACCTACTCAAGAGAAGCCAGACACGAAGCCTAGGATTCAAGTAACTGCTTAAATCTGGTGCGTGCCCAAACCTGCCTTCAGCAGAATGTGTCAAGATTGTTGTGGATCTGGATACAACAGCCGGCTAAGACCAGAGCCATTTAGCTCAGTCGTCAGCCTTTTGCCATGAGGGCTCCCTTCGGTGGGACACAGTTTCGACCCCCTGTTGTCTAAGAGAGCTAAAAGGGTATACCCCATGCCTACCGCTGAGGCCAGCTCATCCCAAAGCTCCCAGTGTTCTGCATAGCTTCCAAGGTCACAGTGTGTGGGAACATTGATGATTAAAATTCATTCCTGTGCACCTGTGGCTGGCAAGCGTTGCTTTGGCTCTAATTTGCTGTCATTGAGCCAAGTTAAGATCCTGCTTGTTTGGAAGTCACAGTCATTAATATATTTGAGCTTAGGCAGACAATGAGTACATAGAACTTTTGAAAGTATTTTTATTCATACTTTTATTCTTTCACTCTTGTATACTACTCAAGGTTTTTTTAATTTAATATTGCTGTCTATACTGTGAGTGAATTCAAAGAATAGAGTAAAATTTTGAAAAGCAAAATTTCCTTCTATGGGGTGACTTGAATTATTTAGTGTTAGTTTTATTTATTAAATAAAATAATTTAAAAGTAGTATCTAATGATTGCCTAGTGCTATTTAGAAAGTGATAAATGATATATGATTAACCATAGGAAGAAAAGGAATTTCACCATTTAAAAAATTTATTTTCTGTTTTTATTAATTTTTTCTCAGAATACCAGCATGTTGTGTTATGTGATTTTTCGTGTTCCTTTCCGTCATGAAATTGTAGGGCTTTATTGTATTACATGACCTATCTGGAGGGCTTATTTCTGTATGACTGCTAGCACTACTTATTCTTACCTGGATTGTGAGCATCTGTTATTTAAACTGTTACCCTAAAAATTTGACGATAATATACTCAATTGTCCTACATTGTATAGTAAATTATGTTTAATATTTCTGAATATTTGCTTCCTAATTTTTAACTACCAGACTGTTACAGAAAACTATTCATGGCTTAAAAAAACTTCTGATTGAGAGGTTTTCTTCTTGTTGTAAATATTTGTTACAGTTGTTTGAAGCAAGAATTCTAAGTTTAGAACTCAAAGAAGTATTTTAAAATGAGTGAAATGTCACTTTGAAATTAGCTGGTGATATGCATATCTGTTGTAATAAGCCAACAATCAGTTTGACCTGTAGTGCTAACTGGTTTCTAGTTAAAACGTGGTTTTGTTTTTTTTTTCTACAAAAACTAAGAGCACATATCTCTTCTGAGAACACTAAGAAGGTCTAAAGTCTATCTTCACTGTAAACTTTTGCCAAATGTTACTCACCATTTTGAACCCTATTCTCATCACTAGGCTTTAATTTCATAGTGCTTTGTTAGAAAAGCACTTCCGGGTCCTAGCAAATGGCTCCCTCATGTCAGACATTATTTTGATTGAATATAATTTTAATCTTACAAGTAATTTGCACTTACCTAGCCCTGTAAATATCCCATGAGATTACTTTGCCCCTGGAATTTACTGTCAGCTTTTTGTTTTTCATTAGACATGGGAAAGTCTCTTTCTCATTTGCCTTTGCATTCAAATAAAGAAGATGGTTATGATGGGGTCACCTCGACAGACAACATGAGGAACGGGTTGGTGAGCAGCGAAGTCCAGAATGAAGATGGAAGAAATGGAGATGTCTCTCAGTTTCCGTATGTGGAATTTACTGGAAGAGACAGCGTCACTTGTCCCACTTGCCAAGGAACAGGAAGAATTCCTAGGGGTATGTGTTACTGCATGGATAGTCCTCTTAAAAAAGGATTCCAGACATTTGCTCAAGTATTGTAAAACCTGGAGTCTTAAGCAATCCTATTTTCAATGATTCAGAGTTAAAACTTACCAATTTTGTTTAGTCAAAAAGACACAAAAGTGCTGGACGATGGTGGCGCACGCCTTTAATCCCAGCACTGGGAGGCAGAGCCAGGGAGATCTCTGTGAGTTCAAGGCCAGCCTGGTCTACAGAGTGAGATCCAGGACAGGCACCAAAACTACACAGAGAAAAACAACAACAAAAGACACAAAAGCAAGCAATTAGTAGTGTTCCTAAAGCAGTGATAGACATGACTTGAGCACACCTGGTATTTTTCATGCTTGTCTGCTATAGTAGCCAATATGCACTGAGGATTTTAATCCTTTTTGACATCATTAGAAGCCATATCACAGTCGTTTTGCCATCTTGGATGTTAGTAGTTACATGATTCAGTAACTCCTTATCCAAACAATAAGTTGTTTATATCCCAATTAGATATTTCTAAAAGGAAATCCATGGTGTATGAAGAAGAGCCAAGTAAGGGAAAAAATGAGCTTGTGATTTGTCATGGGGAACACAGAAGGAAATAGTCCTCTCCCTCTTATTTGTAGGGTACTTGAGTTGCACTGATAGAAAAGAAAAATAATAGAGTGTGTTGTGATGTTCTTCTCTATGTGTAAAAAGTCAGTAGGTGACCCTGGAGAGACCCTAAAGAAGGACAAAGTGACGGCATAAGGAATTCCAGAGTCTCTGAAAAGTGCCTTGCATTAACTGGGGTTTATTGCATAGGCTACTGAATGGTGGTTTTATCTTTCTGGAGACAGTAGCTGCTTGAGAATGAAAGAAGTATTGTGGTTGAAGAAATTAATACCCAGTGTGATAGGGTAGGAATACTATTTCTGTCTATCTAGCTATGCTTTTGAGGTACGGCCAGTAGGCTTTTTGGTAGTTTGGGTGTGGATTATGGAAAGTAGATAATCAAGGATCATCCCAAAGTTTTTTTTTTCTACTCAACAATTTAAAGAATGAAGTAACTGTTTATTAAAATAGGCATAAAAGTAATTTGAGTGTGCATGTCAGAAGTGAGATAAGGAGCTCAGTTTCAGATATGTTTGGGGAGGTGGGTTTGACATCAAAGTGAGTTTTTATTAGACAGGTAGTTACAAGGGTCTGAAACTGAAGAGCGTATCTTAGCTGGTGTCATCGATACATGATGAAACTTCAAATGGAACTTGATAGGAACACTTTGCTTAGCAATTTGGATAAAGAAAAAGGAAGAGACTTTGGCATGAGCTCAGGGACAATGCAACATTTGAAGACAGCAAGAGAAAGAGCGGACGGGGAGGAGATCTCTGTCTTTGGTGTCCTAGAAGAAAGTAGAGAAAATGCACTGAGAAGAAAGAGAGCCACTGTTAATGCTGGTGACAGATGAAATTGTGTGGGGACTGAGGGCTTCCCATTGGTTTTGTGATGTGGAGGCCACTGGGGATTTTTAACAGAGTAGTTGCAACATCATGTGTAGACAATGTCAGAGCAAAACCAATTTTTTCTTGAATTGATATACCCTAATGTGGGGCAGTAGGGTGACATCTTATATAAAGAAATAGGCTTTGTGAGTTTTGCTGTAGAATAGGAGGGAAGAGAGGTGGTAGCTGGGAGGTTGTAAGGTCAGGAGAGCGATCTCTTTTAAGATGGAGTGAATGCTAGATGTGTGCATGCTGATAAAAGTGGTTCATAGAGGACATACTGGTAACACAGGAGGTGGGATAGTTAGTGGAATAATGTCCTTGAGAGATGATACCTAGTGCAGAAAGATGACCCTGTAGAGGGTATAGGGAGCTTCTCAAGAAGGACCATAGAAGCAGGTAGGTGAGTAGATATTGTTCAATCAAACTCTTGAGGCAGAGAGTCTGTGAAATGAAGGGATTATTTAGCTGTTACAGACATTAGCCAAAGGCAAAAGAGCTGGGCCTATGACAGATTCTCTAAGTCACCAGCAGCATGGCCAAATAGCACTTGAAAAAATGTCCACTGGACCTAAGGGACCAAAATATTCCATAATGAAATTCTGGGAGAAAAACTATAAATTATTTACATGAACTATTTTGGGTCTAGAAAGGATGCCAGGATAACAGAAGCCCATGGAAAGCAGGAGAGTAAAGAAAGAGAAAATTTTGCAGTCTGGTTGGTTGGTTCCAAAACCAGAGTGCAGTGTTGTAGATATAACCAACTGTCTTATTAAATAAGAAACACAGAGCCGATTCAGAGAAGAAAGCCAAGAGATCAGAGCTAAGAGCCTCACCCTTCCTGATTCAGCGATCCTCTTCAGCCAAGAGAGCTCTCCGAAAGGGGCCCACTTCCTGTGTGTATGTCTTTATAGTCTTTCTGTTCTGCCTTCTCATTGGTTGTAAACCCAAACATGTGACTGCCTCGTCACTGCCTGAATGTACCGCCCTCCAGGTCCTTAAAGGCGTGCGCCACCGCCGACAGGCACTTGCTATGACTCTAATAGCTCTGACCCCCAGACAACTTTATTTATTAACATACAATTAAAATCACATTTCAGTACAAGTAAAATACCACCACACAGTGTGGTCTGGTGGCTTCCTCCTCAACATACAGGAAAGGAATATGGAACATTTGTTCCTTTTTTTTGTTTGATGCTATGAGTTAAATGAACTTATCTCTTATTCCTTCTGTTTTCTGTCCTGTAACTTAATTTAGGACAACTGAAAAGTCTTCGAAAGTACATTGTTAGGTACATTCTCTCCCTATACATTATGGACCAAGAATGAGGATAAAGGAGGTTATGCCAAGAGTTTGAAGAGAGTTGAGTTTTGAAATTGTGGTTTTAGAGAGTGGTAACTAAGGAAATATGGTGTAATTGTCTCTTCAGGGATCACTTGAAATTAGTGATTGCAAATGAGAACAGTGAGCTCCTGAAAGCTTGAGATTTAGAATAGCGATAGCATGGTTGAGGATCCAGGAAAAGGGCAGCAGCAATGTGTTTCTTCCGCCCTCCGTCCATGTAGTCTGAATGGAAAACAAGGGAGTTGGAGGAAGCTGGGCTCAGTGCAGATCTCCTGAAAGCCAGGACTTTTCAGTTCTGTTTTGTTTTGAATTTTGTTTTTTTAACCAGTGGATCAAAGAGTAGTAGAGCCCTCATTATTTATATTTCTTTAGACATAATTAACTTTTGGTTAATTAGGCATTATGAAAAAATGTAGTATCTTCTCTGTAATACAACCTTTGGATAATTTTAGAAGATATAAATTTTAGAAGATATAAAGAACAGCTTACTAAGAAATAAAGAGAGAAGTATTCTGGTCTTTTGAAGCAGATTTTGCTAGAACACCACTGTGTTTTTAGTTATTGGTGTTAATGAATTTTTAATGTGCATCTTTCACTTTTAGGGCAAGAAAACCAACTGGTGGCATTGATCCCATACAGTGATCAGCGGTTACGGCCAAGAAGAACGTAAGTGATTATAAGATTTCTGCTTTTGTGGTTGTTTGTATATTTTTACTTTCAAACTTTGTATAAGTAATTACACTAGTTAAGACATTTGAGAAGAAAAATGTATCTAGTTGTTAAGTTATACCATCATATGCCCTGTGTCTTTAAACAAAAAAATTACTGACTAGGGTAAGGATGTGAAAACTTCATGGCACCTGATATCTTGAGAAACCTATTTATTAAGAGTTCTAAAATAGTGGCAGTACCATGCATGTGTATGCAGGCCATTTTCATCAGGCAAAGGAGGTTCTGTGTTCTCACTGACTCCAGAGTGATAATGACTGCCCAAAGCATAATGAGCACAGAGACCTGAGCATGCTTAGCAGACGCGTGGGCATTTGAAGAGAAGCCAAGGGAGTCTCCAACGATCCTAAGAGTCCTTATGTAGAAGGCAAATGCTCCACCCCTAAAGAACACGCCTACACTCAACAATGCTGGCAAGTATTTTTGAGAATAACTTGTTACAGTGAGAAGAACAGAGATTGCAGAAAACCCACAGTGGCCTTGAGAAGGTCAGAAGGGGCTGAGTACTCATGTGGGCCAAGCCAACCTTGGCCCATCCCATTATTCAATATGGAACATGAAGAACATGTACTCAACAAAATGCTGAAAATTGAAACACCAAAAAAGCAGTTGGAAACTTTTAAATATATGTAAAATTTAAACAATAGAAGGCATAACAATAGCTTAAGTCAGACATTGAAAAGTTCAGAAATAACTGAATAGGAGAATGTGAAAAGAGAACCAACAGATCCATTAAAATATCTAGAAACATACTTTTTCTATAAAATTGGAAGTACACAGTACAAATATGATTCCCTGAAAAAATGTGAGAGAAATTAAATCAACATGAGGTATGTAATCATACAGACTGTCTTAGTGTTCTGTTGCTATGAAGAGATACCATCATCATGGTAACTCTTATGAAAGAAAGCATTTAATTGAGGCTTGTTTATAGTTTCAGATATTTAGTCCATTGTCATCATAACAGGGAGCATGGCATAACAGGCCAAGCAGGCAGGCATGGTGCTGGAGAAGTAGCTGAGAATTCTACATCCAGATCCATAGACAGCAGGAAGAGAGATAATGGGCCTGGCTTAAACTTTTGAAACTTCAAAACCCATCTCTAGAGATACACTTCCTTCAACAAGACCACAGCTACTCCAAGGCCACACCTCTTAATCTTTCTTAGTAGTGCCACTCCCTGATAATTAAGCATTCAAATACATGCATATATGGGGGCCTTCTTATTCAAACCACCATACATACTGTCTTAGGGTTTCAATTGCTGTGAAGAGACACCATGACCACGACAACTCTTATAAAGAAAAAACATTTAATTGGGGTGACTTGCATTTTCAGAGGTTTAGTCCATTATCATTATGGTGCAACATGATAGCCTGCAAGTAGACATGGTGCTGGAGAGAGAGCTGAGATACATCTTGACCTGCAGATATCAGGAAGTAGTGGGTATGGCTTAAGCATATATGAGACCTCAAAGCCTGCCTCCACAGTGACACACTTTCTCCAACAGGACCACACCTACTCCAACAAAGCCACACGTCATAACAGTGCCACTCCCTATGAGCTTATGAGAGCCAATTACATTCAAACTACCACATATACATAATAAAAAATCTTTGAGAAAATAAGGAAAACAATGTGTATGCAACCTCATAGAAGCAAATAAGAGGTATGAGATTAATTATTAAATGTTTGCTTGAGGGACACATGGCTAGAATAGAAGAAGGTCTCATTGTATGTACTAGAAAGAGACACCCTCAACCTGAGAGATATTCTACTTAAAATCATGGACTTTAGAGATTTAAAGAAGAAAAGCCCTTTGACCATTCGGGCAAGAGGCTTAGTTAATGAATAAAGGATAGAAGATAGATTGGCCAACTACCTCTTGGCCACAATGCTTTAAATAAGCTGTTGAATAAAAAGAGTTGGTCCGAACTTATAATCACAGAGTGGGAAACCTTTCAGTAGCTATGATTTACAATCCATTAGTAATGAAAAACCATATTGGACTTAGTATAGATAAACTTCCCCTGGTTAAAAATAAAACCTTGCCAAGCAGTGGTGGCACACACCTTTAATCCCAGCACTTGGGAAGCAGAGGCAGGCGGATCTCTGTGAGTTCAAGGCCAGCCTGGTCTACAGATCCAGGACAGGCACCAAAACTACACACAGAAAACCTGTTTCAAAAAATTAAAAAAAAAAAAAATTAAAAAAAGAAAAGAAAACCTTAGTTGAAATCAGAATACAAATGATAAACCAAGAAGTAATGTCTGCAAATCATGTCATGTAGAAGACTGGTCCCCTTCTGTACAGAACATCAAAATTTGAAAAGAAAAAAGACAGCTACACAAAGGGGGATAAAAATAGAAGCTGTGGAAAGTACCTCACACACACACACACACAAAAAAAATATGAATGACCTTTAAATGAAGGAAAATATATTCCATCTTGTTCCTTAAAGAAATGCAAATTCAGTACACAGAGATATCATTTTTATCAGATTGGCAAAAGCCCAGAATTTTGTCAACATGCTTTGTTGGCACCACTGAGTGAAAACAAGCATTCTCATGTCTTACTAGTTGAATAAGCATTTTGTATTTTTTGGCAAAACTGCATAACCATTCTTTGGTGCAGAAATTCCACTTTTGAAAAATTTATACTGAAGATACTTGTCAAATATAGTAAGAGCATGATGACATACCCCTGTAATCCAGTACCAGGAAATATAAGCAGGAAGATCAGAAGTTCAAGGCTATCCTCAGCAATCTACCAAGTTCAAGGTCTCTCTGGGATATGTCTCTCTGAGCTATGTAAGACCCTGTCTCAAATAACACAAAGCAAATAAATTTGTGTGCATGTGTGTTTGTGTGTGTGTATATGTATATGTGTGTGTATACACAAGTTATTGAAAATAAAATCTAATAAAGTATAGGAAATCCAACAAGGTTAAGATGTTTGATCACAATGATTTTTAAATTTCTTTTGTGCCTATGATGTGTTGTGCCTATGGATATATTGTAGGCATGACAAATATGAGTTTATTGTTTACTTGTGGATCGTTATTACTGAAACTGAAAAAAATTCCACAACGAATGAGTAGGAATTGGTTGGTTTGCTCCACACAGCAGCATGAACTCAGTGGTGGTAGTTTAGTGAAATTTTGTTCATTTGCTTTATTTCTTTTTATTAAGCCATTTTTCTATTTCTCAGGAAGCCAAAGTACCTAGAAAATTCATTAGGAAGTTTTTAACAGCTGTTATAAGGTGTATGCAGTGAACTTGATGGAGGCATAGGAAGTTTGGGGGAAGAGAGAGTGACGATGGGTCACAAGGAAGGTGAAAGGAATATAGGACTGAGAATGAAATTGGCTCCTAGTAGAGCACATTATAGTGAAGTGCCCAAGAAATCTGAAACTATAGTTTTGAGTGTAACCCTGAAGGAAAATACACGTTTCAGAGGAGTTAAATGGATAGAAAAACATGTGAGTTATTTATCTTTTTTCTCTTGTACATGCCTAGTATTTCCACTTAGGTAAATGAAACAGGATAACATCTTCACTGCTCGGTCGATCAATGTAAACAGTACTTTTAGAACTAAGTACATGAGTACTTTGGGAGGGAGTCTGAAAGGACTGGAGATAATGAGGATAAGGAGCCATGTGTTTACATCAGGCAATAAGCTTTGCAGGTTTATTCATGTCAGGTAGTAAGACTCCAGTTCAAACCCTGCTTCCATGAATCCAGATGGAGGCCTGGATTCTGAATTTGTGAAGGGCCCTAAACTTGTTCTCATGTAAAACCTGGATTGAAAATCAGTTCAGTAAATAATTCATTATAAGGCTGAAATCTCATTATCTAAAAATGGCAGTTCATCTTCTAAGGAGATTATTTTAACACTTAGAAGTACCGACATTAGCTAATAGTTTTAGAGTGAAAATTTGGCAAAGTTAAACGTGTCTTCTTGCTGCAATGAGATGTGGCAAAAGAATTCAAATGAAAACAGCTTCCTTTCATGTTGCTCTATTGAATTCTGGATAGCATGTATGTAAGCACTCTCTTTTTTTCCAGAAAGCTGTATGTGATGGCATCTGTGTCTGTCTGCCTGCTCCTCTCTGGATTGGCTGTGTTTTTCCTTTTCCCGCGATCTATTGACGTGAAGTATATTGGCGTAAAATCAGCCTATGTCAGTTACGATTTTCAAAAGCGAACCATATATTTAAATATCACAGTAAGTACCCACTTTCGCTGCAGGCCTTGACTCCATCGTTTGTGTTGTATAGCCACCCATGTACTCTGCTCAGAGAATGCTTGCTGCTGACCCCTTGTTGCTGTATTTTCCATGAAGCTTTGGGGTTTTTTTAATTAATTAATTAATTAATTTTACATCCCAACCTCAGTCTCCCACCCTCTTCCAGTTAATATCTATGAGTGAGTGAGTATACACCATGATTGTCTTTCTGGGCCTGGGTAACCTCACTCAGGATGATTATTTTCTAGTTCCATCTATTTACTTTCAAATTTCCTGATGTCATTGTTTTAACCGCTGAGTAATACTCCATTGTGTAAATGTACCACATTTCTTTAGCCATTCTTCGGATGATAAACATCTAGGTTGTTTTCAGTTTCTGGCTATTACAAATAAAGCCACTATGAACATAGTTGAGTAAGTATCCTTGTGGTATGATTGAGTATCCTTTATGTATATGCACAAGAGTTGTATCACTGGGTGTTAGTTATTTGGCGGTGCTCTTACCCTGCGAGGAAATGTCACAAAACACGACAGACTCCACTAACAAGAGTTTTATTAAGATAAGAGAGACAGACAAGTGTGCTCAGGCCTGCGGAAGAGACATTAGCATAGAGAAGAAGGAAGCCGGGAATATGGCGCCGGCTTATAAAGGCTGGGTGGCGTGTACACAGGTCCATGTGGCTGCTCCACGCATGCGGCGTAGATAACATGGTTGCGTTACATGCTCTTACGCAACCATGCAAAGCCACAGGGTCCTTGTCACACGAGATGCCTTGGCCTGGAAATGGCTATTTTGACCCGGAACTGGCTAGGCGGAAGTGTCTAGGTCCGCCGGACATGCCCAACCGTGGGGGCGTGTTGTGAATTTATCACTGGGTCTTGAGGTAGATTGATTCCCAATTTTCTGAGAAACCACTATATTGGTTTCCAAAGTGGCTATACGGGTTTGCACTCTCACCAGCAATGGAGGAATGTTTCTCTTGCTCCATATTCTCTCCAGCATAAGCTGTCATTTGTGCTTTTGATCTTAGTCGTTCTGACAGGTATATGATGGGATCTCAGAGTCGTTTTGATTTGCATTTCCCTGATACCTAAGGATGATGAATGTTTCTTTAAGTGTTTCTCTGCCATTTGAACTTCTTTGTTGAGAATTCTCAGTTTAGGTCAGTACACCGTTTTTTAATTGGATGTCTAGTTTCTTGAGTTCTTTATGTATTTTGAAGATCAGCCCTCTGTCAGATATGGGATTGGTGAAGATCTTTTCCCATTCTGTACGCTGCCATTTTGTCCTATTGACAGTGTCCTTTGCCTTACAGAAGCTTTTCAGTTTCAGGAGGTTCCATTTATTAATTGTCGATCTCAGTGTCTGTGCTACTTCTGTTCTATTCAGGAAGTTGTCTCCTGTGCCAATGTGTTCAAGGCTCTTCCCACTTTCTCTTCTATCAGGTTCAGTGTAACTGGATTTATGTTGAGGTCTTTCATCTACTTGGACTTGAGTTTTGTGCAGGGTGATAGTTATAAATCTATTTGCAGTCTTCTACATGTTGACATCCAGTTATACCAACAGCATTTGTTGAAGATGCTTTCTTTTCTCCATTGTATTGTTTTGACTTTTTTGTCCAAAATCAAGGTGTATTGATTCATGTCTTAGTCTTTGATTTGGTTCCATTGATCCCTATGGTGATATTTTATTTGTATTAAAATGTTATTTGTATGTTAATAAATAAAGTTGCCCGGGGGTCAGAGCTATTAGCAAGCCATAGGAAAGCAGGGCAGTGGTAGCGTGCGCTTGTAATTCCAGCACTTGGTAGGCAGAGTTGGGTAAGTCTCTGTGTGTTCAGGGATACAGCCATTATTGGATACACATGCCTTTAATCTTAATACCAATCATGGAAAACCTGGAGGCCTATACAGACAGGCCGTGAGGAGGCGGTCATGTGGTTGGGTTTACAACCAATGAGAAGGCAGGACAGGAACTCTATATAAAGACTTTAACACAGGGGTAGCTCTGGTTCGGAGAGGTAGGACCACTGCAGGAGGAAGGGTAAGGTTTTAGCTCTTAGCTCTGACCTCTTGGCTTTCTTCTTTGCATTGGTTCTGTGTTTCTTATTTAATAAGAAGGTTGGATACATCTACAGATCCCTCTGTCTATTATGCCAGTACCATGCCTTTTTTTTTTTTTTTTTTTTTTTAATTACTATAGCTCTGTAGTGGAGCTTGAGATCAGGGATGGTGATATCTTCAGCAGTTCTTTTATTGTACAGGATAATTTTGTTTATCTGGGTTTTGTTTTGTTCTGGGTTTTTTGTTTTCCATATGAAGTTGAATATTGTTTTTTCAGGGTCTATAAAGAATTGTGTTGGGATTTTAATGGGGATTGCATTGAATCTTTCGATTGCTTTTGGTGGTCATTTTTACTATATTAATCCTACGGATCCATGATCATGGGAGATCTTTCCATCTTCTGATATTCTCTAATTTCTTTCTTCAAAGACTTGAAGTTCTTGTCATACAGATATGTCACTTGCTTGGTTAGAGTTATACCAAGATATTTTATATTGCCTGTAGCTATTGTGAAAGGGTATTGTTTCCCTGATTTCTTTCTCAGCCTTTTTATCATTTGTATATAAGAGGACAACTGATTTTTTGGAGTTAATCTTGTATCTAGCCACATTACTGAAGGTGCTTATCAGCTGTAGGAGTTTCCTGGTAGAATTTTTGGAATCACTTATGTATACTATCATGTCATCTGCAAAAAATAGCAATATTTTGACTTCTTTTATAATTTTTATCCCCTTAATCTTTTTTTTTTTTAAGATTTATTTATTTATTTTGTATACAGTGTTCTGCCTGCACACATCCCTGCAGGCCAGAAGAGGGCACCAGATCTCATGGCAGATGGTTGTGAGCCACCTTGTGGTTGCTGGGAATTGAACTCAGGACCTTTGGAGGAGCAGCCAGTGTCCTTAACCTCTGAGCCATCTCTCCAGCCCCCCCCCCCTTAATCTTTTTTTGTTGTTTATTGTTCTAGCTAGAACTTCGAGTTGTATATTGAATAGATATGGAGAGAGTGGACAGCTATGTCTTGTTCTGAATTTTAGTGGAATTGCTTTGAGTTTCTCTCCATTTAATTTTATGTTGGCTGTCAGCTTGCTTTTATTATGCTTTTATTATATTTAGGTATGTTCCTTGTATCCCTGATCCCCGAAAGACTTCTATCATGAAGGGGTGTTGGATTTTTGTCAAAGCCTTTTTCATCTTCTAATGAAAGATGATCATGTGTTTTGTTTTTCCTTTCAGTTTGTTTATATGGTGGATTACAATGACAGGTTTTTGTATGTTGAACCATCCCTGCATCTCTGGGATGAAGCCCACTTGAGCATGGTGGATGATCTTTTTGAGTTCTTGGATTTGGTTCGCCAGTATTTTATTGATTATTTTTGCATCAATGTTCATGAGGGAAATTGGTCTGTAATTCTCTTTCCTTGTTGGGTCTTTGTGTGGTTTGGTTTCAGAGTAACTGTGGCCTCATAAAAAGAATTTGATGATTTTCCTTCTGTTTCTATTTTGTGGAATAATTTGAGGGGAGTACTGTTACTAGCTCTTTGAAACTCTGGTAAAATTCTGCACTGAAACCATCTGGCCCTGGTCTTTTCTTGGTTAGGAGAGTTTTAATGACTGCTTCTATTTCCTTAGGGGTTATAGGTCTGTTTAAGTTGTTTATCTGATTTTGATTTAATTTTGGTATATGGTATCTATCAAGAAATTTGTGATTTCTTTTAGAGTTTCCAGTTTTGTAGAGTACAGGTTTTTGAAATATGACATAATGATTGTCTGGATTTCCTCAGTGTCTGTTGTTATGTCCCCCTTTTTGTTTTTTAGGTAATTTGGATAAGGGTTTGTCTATCTTGTTGATTTTCTCAAAGAACCAACTATTTGTTTCATTGTTTCTTTGTATTGTTCTCTATTTCTATTTTATTGATTTCAGCCCTCAATTTGATTATTTCTGGCTGCCTACTACTTTTGGGTGTGTTTGCTTCTTTTTGTTCTAGAGCTTTGAGGTTTTCTGTGAAATTGCTATATGAAATTTCTAGAAAATCCTTATGAAGGCACTTAGTGCTGTGAACTTTCCTCTTAGCACTGCTGTCATTGTGTCCCATAAGTTTGGGTATGTTATACATTTGTTTTCATTAAATTCTAGAAAGTCTTCAATTTCTCTATTTCTTCCTTGATGCAGTGGTAATTCAGTTAAGATTTGTTCAGTTTCCATGAGTTTTTAGGCTTTTTGTAGTTTGTTGAACTCCAACTTTAATCCATGGTGATCTGATAAGATACAAGGTGTTATTCTAACTTTTTTGTATCTGTTAAGACTTGTTTTGTGACTGAGTATGTGGTCAACTTTGGAGAAGGTTCCATGAGGTGCTGAGAAGAAGGTATATTCTTTGGTGTTTAGGTGAAGCATTTGGTGTTTAGGTGAAGCATTATGTAGATATCTGTTAGGTCCATTTGAATGATAACATCTGTTAGTTCTGATATTTCTCTGGTTAGTTTCTGTCTAGATGACCTGTTTCTTGGTGAGCGTGGGCTGATGAAGTTTTCCACAATTAAAGTGTGGGATTCAGTATGTGATTTTAGCTTTAGTAATGTTTCTTTTATAAATGTGGGTGCCCTTGTATTTGGGGCATAGCTGTTCAGAATTGAGACATCAATTGGTGAATTTTTCTTTTGATGAATATGAAATGCCCTTCTTCATTTCTTTTAGTTAATTCTAGTTTGAAGTCTATTTTGTTAGATATTAAGATTGCTATACCAGCTTGCTTCTTTGGTTCATTTAATTGGAAAAAAGTCTTTTTCCAATCCTTTACTCTGAGATAATGTCTGTCTTTGATGTTGAGGTGTGCTTCTTGTATGCAGCAGAAAGATGGATACTGTTTTCATATCCATTCTGTTAACCTGTGTCTTTTTATTGGCAATTTGAG